CTGCACGTGCCCTGGGGCTGTTCCCTAGCCCCCCCTCCCCCCATGGCTCCCCACTCTGGGCTTGAAGACCTAAAATATTATAAATAGTGTTTCCATTTGTAAGCTGGTTTTTTATAGTTGGTGGGTGGGGAGCGTGGTGGAGGGGCTCTGTTAGTTGAGGGGGAGGGGATTCTGCTTGTTGAGGGGTGGGGGTGAAGGTTGAAGGTAATAAAGTTTTTTTGTTTTGAACATGTGCATGTCCTGAGAGTGGTGCTGGGGGTGGGCAAGGCGTAAGGGGGGTGTGGGTGGCAGGGCAGGTGAGCTGGAGCGAGGAGTGCAGGAGTTGGGGGTTGGCCAGCACCTCCTGCAGTCAATACCTGGGCAGCGCTGGCGGGTGTGTAGCTCTCCTGGAGCCTGGGGGTATGGAAGGGACTTACTGGGGGCAGCAGGGCCAGTACCATGCTCAGCAGGAGCACATGGCACTGGTCATCACTGGCAGGGACGCGGCTGGAGCAATGGGGTGCTGGGTGTTACTGGTGGGGGCAGGAGCACCCACAGTGTGGAGAGGCAGGGTGGGCAAGGTGGGAGCTGCCGCCAGCTGCCCCTGCACTGGGCACATGGCTCCTGGGCAGGGAAGAGGATGGCCAGGGATCAGAGTTTCCAAGATGGCTGCCAAATGCTGGCAGTGGTCAGAGGCTGGAGCTCCTCACAGTGGCCACAGGGCAACATGGCAGGACTGGTGCGAACTGGCACTAATTTTAGTGCCAGTTGCCTGCATGTGTAGACACCTGACAAAAATCAGTTATTGCACATTAGGCTAATGCGTGGTACCTTTAATCGTGACTAACTACATGCAGATGTGCCTACAGTGTCATAAACATTCTGCCATGTTCTAATCTTTGAGTTCTTTGCAACAGAAGTATTGCTTTATTAGTATGAAAGCTCAGAGCTAGCATCGTCTCAGGGGTGTCCTGAGTCTAATTCAAGGTGCCTTGAGCCTAAAGAGGTTGAGAACCACTGGTCTAGACCAACCTTGAGGTCCCTTCTGACTGTGAGTCTATGAGGCTGTGGATGGGTGCATAGTGTGAAATGCCAGTAAACCAAGCAGGCCCCTGTCACACACCCTAGTTGGAAAGCCCTGGCACTGCATGCCATGGCCGTGATTTTGAAGTATGCCAGTGGGGGTGTGCAATCTGAACTGCATGTCAATACAGCACTGAGGTAGAATTTGGGCCACTTCAAATGCATGTCTGACAACAGCTTGAGTCTCCAGTGGAAAAACTGAATATATCTATTTATTTGGTCTTGCCTCAAAGGTACTGAGTTATTAATGAGCATAGCCAGCAACAAGGTATCTGCAGCTTGCTGAGCCATTTGCTGCTAGAAGTAAGATTTCTGATGGAGAGGAGAAGGCTGATAGATGGTCATGGCTAATGTTGATTAGGAGGCTTATTTTGAATTGGCTGGATTTGAAAGGTTTGCTTTTTTGCATACAGAAATGAACATTTTAATTAATATGGCTTTAGTTAATTAATTTTATTTGTGTTTATCTCCAACTTTTATGTCTGAGAATTTCTGTTAGGTTTGTGGACAGTATTTTAATGCAAACAGATAATGCAGTGGTAGACTGATTTAGGAAATAAAAAGATTACACCTGGGAAAGAGGTGAGGCCTGTGCTGCAGTGAAAGGGTTAACTGCAGGGGCAGGAAAATGATGAAGTGGTAGCTCTGTTCTGGCAATGAAGGGTGAACATCTACAGGGAAGTGAATAGGAAGGAAGAGAGGAAATATAGGATGTGAGCCTTGATATCCTGTTTCTGACACATCTGGCTGAAAGTAGCCTCGGTTATCTTTTTTGACCTTCCCATCTCCTACCCCTGCCTATTAGCTCTGCCACTTTGCTCTGCCTTCCTGCCTTTCTTGCCTTTGTTTCACAGGCTAGGAACAGATTTTCAGAGAGGTTAGATCATAATAAAAGTGGCCACCTGATCTAATTTAGTTCACCCAGGTGTGGAGCTAACACTTAGATTGACCTAACTAGAAATCTAAGTGCAAATTGTACCAAAGCTCAGGTCTAAAAATGGCTGACCCTATCTAAGTTAACTGTACCTCCGAGGTAGTCGAACTTGGATCAGGTCAGGCAAGACCAGTCTAATTGAAACTGTACATTTCCCAGCACGGCCCTGTAGCTGGGAAAGCCCAGCTGCTGGCCCCAGCTCCAGGGCTGTGCTTTTCCTACCTGTCCCCTGGCACTGTGCTACTTTTAGCTCCCTGACCTCTTTTGCCTCCCTCAGATGGACAACCCCTCCACCCCCAAGCCCACCAAACCCCACATCCTGCAAACCACTCCTGGTGCAGGGAGCCGATCAAAGTAAACTGGAGTGGGCAGAAGGGCAGGTGGGATTGGAGTGGGGCAGGCTTGCTGTGGGAGAGCGTTGTTTATTTGGGGTTGGGGTGGTGGGCTAAAAATAGCCCCTGGTGTTGGAAGGGGGGTAAGAGAGCCTCCCCCAACCCCTGAAGCCACCTGTGGACCCTGCTGAAGCCCTCTGTTCCCTCCTACAGACCCCACTTATCTTCCCAATTCCCCCCGCAGATCCTGCTTGTCCCTGCATACTTTGTTTGTCCCCAATCTTCTGCAGACTCTGCTTGCCCCCTCACTCCCCTAGGCCTTGGGGATTGACAGCGAGGCCTTGACCCTCCCTGCTTGCCCTCCCCAATCCCAATTCACCTTAGATCGAGTGACTTGCTTTAACCTTCCCCTAACCTCACTAAATGTCTGTATGCACCCACACAGACTTTCTGCTTTGCTTTCCCATGGCTATGACACTTAGATGAAACTGAGCTCCACTGCACTTTGTGAGATGCCTGTGATTTGCTTTTTTCACTCTGCCAGTACAGCCCCACTGATTTGTATGTTAGTGTTCCAAATAACAGGTCATCTCAGTCTTGCATGGTTGGTACAGTAATTAATATGCCACATGGTTTCCAGGAACTTAAGACTGCTTTTTTCTCTTTCCTTGAGTTAAATAACTTTTTTTTTTAATTCCATCATGACCAAAGAAATGCCTATTACATGGAGGAAATGCCTCCCCACTCTATATCATCAAAGATGGTAATGGAGATTTTGGTTCTTGGGGGTGTATATGCGTGCATTGAAACTCTGTCTATACCTGTCCCTAATACTCCCCTTGCAGGAGCTGAAGACAAAACATAGAAAACTTTTACTCTGCCTCATTGGGGAGGGTGGGGTGCAGTGTAGCCCTAAAATTTGCAGAGAGTAGTGCTGGGGGAGTTGCTACATCAAATAGCAAGTTTTGAGGGGAGTGACTGGGTGTGTGAATATTTCACCACTATCTCCTCACCCTTTCTGATAGGAGCTGCATGTGTAAACTTGCTTGGGACTCAAGAGTAACTGCCAGGAGGGTTAGGGGTGGATAGAGCATAAAAATGCAGATAACAGGTGGCTGGGCTACAGGGAGGATGAGAATAGTAAGGAAATGATTACTGTGTTTTCTCTGTGGTCAGTGTTAATATTCATGGCTCTTAAAAATAGTAGGAAAATTTGATTTCACTGGTATATAAACAGTTAACTGAGTTTATAGTCTTTGCCAGGGCATGCCAAGGATTTCAAAAGAGCTTTTAAAAATACTAAAAAGCATCCATTATCCTTGAGAAGAAATGAATGGAATAAATTTGAATTTTCTAAATCCAGCCATCCCAGAGGAGATGAATTTAAAGCATTATGCTTCTCCACAACTGAAAAAAGATCTTCAAGATGTTTTATCATACCAAGCTCCCTTTTTTCTTCTTTTTAATTGCTGCTGGGAAGAAAACAGGCAGGACAAACTGCAGGTGGAAAGTAGATTTTCTTAGGATGCTTATGGGAAAGAATTGACACATTAAAGTTTAGCTTAGTTGTAACTTCAACTGTGCAGTTACTACTGAGACTGCAAAATAGTGATGGAAATTGTATGCTTAAAGTTCATAATATAAGTTACTCTCCTTGGTGATGGAGAATACCTCACTTCCTTCATTTAACATTTGCCCCTGCAGAGCACTTAGTACTAGATAGAAAAGAAAACTGATTTCAGGGCTGTTGGTGTTTGCACTTCATAAGCATATTGTGGATTTAACGTATTTCTAATTTTTTTACACCTATTTTCTGTTATTGGAGACAGCAGCTGTCCATCACTTATGGTATAACTTAGGAACCTTTTAAAACTGTAACAGTTGGTGCAAATCCATGTTTACAGACCTAAAACAACTGGGCAGCTTTCATCTCTGAATATTGGGCCCCTTCTTTATGTGCCTGAAAGTGGACGTGATGGCCTAAGTTTAGGCACTCCATTTGAAATTTTTTATCTTGGAATCATAAAACTCTCCAGAGAAAAATAAAAATGTAAAAAATGTAACTAATGTAAGTTATGTGATCAGTTATCACACAAGTGTCCAATCTCTCTTAGTGTAGTATAAACATCCCTATGGCATGTAGTCTTAGTCTTGTTTTAAATGTGGTCATTAATATTGCAGTAGTTAAAATGTTAAGGCTAGTGCACTTACCTTGGCATGTTCTACCTCCTACTACTTGGTATCCTTCAGGGCAGACACATGAGAATTTCCCTGGTTCATTGACACATTGATAGTGACATATGTAACTTGAAGTTCCGCATTCATCAACATCTGGAGAGCAAAGAAACAGTTAGATCTTATTGTCTTAAAAATCTACTTTGTACAAAGACTAACCATTAATAGAAATAAAATAAACCCAGTCTAAAAAAAAGAAATTCTTCAAAATCTGAAATGGATATTACACTTCAGCACCTTAAAGTTGTCTCCAAAAAAAGAAAATTCAACTGGTATTTTTTTAGCTATTTCCAAATATGAAACTGTAATGAAATGCATTTAGGTAAGTAGAGATTATATCAACACAGTTTCAGAATAGGCTTGAGAAAAGAGAGCCCACATATTTTTCTATTTCAAACATTTTGGCGGCTTAGCTCTGAGAGATATTTTACCCTCGTCTGTGTATGTAACTTGCAGTGCAGTTAATATGAAATAGCCTTAGGAAGATGTTAAGGACCATTTTTTGCCTTCAAACACTGTCTACTATGTCCCATTTTTATTTGGCTTTTGAAACTTTGCAAGTTGATCAATTGATTGCAAGACCATGTTAGGATGAAATGCTATTTAATCTTAATTTCATTTTAATTCTATTTAATAATTCCCATTATTGTGAAAAAAGTGAAGTAATAGAATTCAGATGTGGCACAGCAGTAGGCTAATGTGCCTGTTTGAGACCTGAGCTCAGTTCTTCTGCTTGGGTGTGGAGTTCTTTGTGTAAAACTTTCTCCTGTTCCCTATTAAGAAAGTAGGGGTGCACTGATAAAGACTGTTTGGGTCAATACCAATGGCCGATTATTAAAAAGCCACGTTGACCGATACCAATCCGATTGTCGATATGCAAGCCTGGCAGCTTGGAGAGATGCGTCTGGCTGGTAAGTCTGCTGGGGAGAAGGGGCATGCTGGGGGCAGATTGAGGCCCCTGTCATGAGGGATGGAGTGGGAGTGGGGCTGGGTCAGGGGCAGGCGCTGCCCAACTGGGGTGGAGTGAGGTACAGGATGGAGCTGAGAGTAGCTCGTTTCGGGGGTACGGCGAAGGGCAGCTCCTGCCGCTGCACACGCTGCAAAGGAGGCATGGGGGGCATGTGCATCCTGGATCTGCGCATGGGGCAAGGGCTGGCTGCCTGCTGCATGCTTGGGGCTGAAGTCAGTGCCAGGCTATTCCTGTCGAGGGGGTTGGGCTGGGACTGTGTTTGGGTTGGGTGGCGGGGGCACTGGGAGGGAGGATTTGGTGCGGGGGGGCTATGGTGAATTTTGGGGTGGCTGTATCCCACCCTGTAGCCCCCATCCTAGCACCACCACTGCTTGCCCCAAGCACAGCCTCAGCCCAACCCCCCCGCCAGAAAGAGCCTGGAGCCAGCCCCAGCCCACAGTAGCAGCCTGCCCTCACCCTGTGCACAGATCCCCTCCCTGTGTCACCTGGACGAGCTCCTTGCAGCTCCGTCCTATGCCTCACTCTGCCCTGGCCAGGCAGCACCTGCTCCTGCCCCAGCCCCACTCCCTCTCTCAATGCAGGGACCTCAATTGGCACCCCCTACACT